CAGGGCTTTATGCTTCACAAAATATTTTTGCTTGCATAAAGAAACCATGAAAGGCAGGCAGAGAGCAAACAGCAAAGTCAAAGAAAACACAACATATTTGCTCTTTCTGCTTTTATTATACAGTTGGTCATACATGGATGGGAGGGCTTCCCACATAAGGAAGAAGTCATTAGAGCTCACATGCTCTGTTCAGCATTTGAAGCGTGGGTATTTTGTGTGACATTCCAGAAAAAAAAAAAAAAAAAAAAAAGGGGGGGGGGGGAGAAATAAAAAAAGAAGCTCTTTTGAACCATGAAGGTTTATAGGAATGGAAAAAAAGGTCTGTTTATATTCCCCCTTTCATGCCACCCAGAGGCCTGACAGGCCTCGTGGCCGAGTCAAACATTCGGGCTCGAAGCTCCATTTTGTAAATATTTTAATGAAGCATCTTTGGAGACTCATAAATCTTCACGTGTGCACAGGGGTGGGTGCTCCAGAAAGCAAGGAAAGCTGCAGGGTTTCCTGCCAACCTCCCCAGGGGGAACAAAACACAGGGAGGGGAAAGGAAAAAAAAAGGGAAGAAAAAAGGACAACGTGAAGTTTTAATGATGAAATCGGAAAGAGCTGCTTGGAAAATCTGAGTCCTCCAAGATAGAAAGAATAAATAACAATCAAAGGGGGGAAAAAAAAAGGTTTGTGTGAGGCCAGGATGTGCTGGGGTGGGTTTTGGGTGCAATTTCTTGGTGCTGAGGTGGACGTTGCCAACTTTTGGCAGTGTAAGTGGGATGTTTTTTCACTGGCTGGTGCTTGATTTAAAGCCCCAGCTTCAAAAATCCAGGCTCTGAAAATGCTTTTCTGCCTTCATTTGTTCCTCTTCAAGTGGGCAAAAAGAGAGTGCTCAGCCCTACTGCTCACTTGGAGCTTTGCAAAATGACCTCCCAGTAAGAAAAACTGTGGGAAAATTAACCCAAAAATAAACCCAGCCCCACTTCAAACTGGAAAACACAGAATAAAAGTGAAGACAAGAGGGTGGAGTTTGCAAGTCTCAAAATAAAACCAAAAACCAAACCAAACAAACCTTCACAAGGCCAGATAAAAGATGATTTTTGTCTCCCAGTGTCTCTGGTAGTGCTACCAAAAATGTGAAGCCTGGGAACAAGGATGTTGGTGGCTTCAGCTGGTGCAGGAGGGATCTTGGGGTGCCCGACAGCCCTGGAGGACACAGCTGGGATGGGTTCGTGTTCCTCTCGCAGCCTCGTGGGGCCAAACGTGGGGCAGGTTTCCAAAGCACTTCCCTGTGGGCTCAGGAAAGCTGGGAATCATGGAATCATGGGTTGGCTCAGGCACCTTCACACATCCAGAAGGACAAGCCCAGCCCTGATGAAGCTGTGGAGCATGTGAGGCTCCAGCTGCTGTGTTTTCAGGGTTTTGGGGTGTCTGAGGCTTTTGCCTTCCCCAGATGCAAAGTTCTGCTGAGCTAGGCAAGGGGAGGGTTTCTGTTTTTCCCAAGCTCTGCCTCTCTTCTCTGTTTCCCTTCAGCCCTCGTGTCTCTGCAGAGCAGAACTCAGACACTGCACCAAAAACTCCATTTCCAGCCTTGTGATCCCCCTGGTTTCCCAAGAGGAGCAGCCTCTTTCC